AACTGCTTAATGCCAAAGTCTTGACCTTTTCTGCAAAATACTTTTACTGCATCACATGAACCAGGTGTAAACCTGCGAGCACCAGGAGATAAAACTCTGTATGTCTCTAACCCTGCAACCAAGAGGCCGAGATAGACCCCGTGCGAGGGCTCGCTGGGTCTCCACGCAATCACTCCATGTCCAGGGATTTCTCACAAGCCCTGACATCGTCTGCAGCCTTACAGGAAATTTCTCCTCCTTCATTTTAGGTTTACGAGCTGCACTCCTCGCATCGACTCCCTCCCTGGGCCATGACTCGGCTCAAAAGGGCAATTTCCTTCCCCTCCCGACACGCGTGACTGTTTCCTCTGGTGCCAGCCCAGCCGCCCGCCAGCGGCTCACACAACATGCCCACAAAAACAGCTATTTGGCTCTGAATTGTTTCAAAGGAAGAAGCCTCCTCGCTCACCGCTCAGAGCTGGGGAGCCTGGAGGGCAGCACCGGGATCCGCAGTCTCCCCCAGGTCTCCTGCCCAACACCAGAGGAGGCGCAGCGATGCCAAAGAGAGGGGCTGGGAAGCAAAGATGCACCATTGTGTAATGTTTCTGCAAAACCTGCCTTTTAAAGGCAAGTTTTCAAGCAATTAAAAAGATAAACTTCAGCAGAAGGAAGCCAGAGGCTTTGTCCCCATTCAAACCTGCAAGAGGAACGGCACGAGCACCCATCCGAAAGCGCAGCAGGTTTGGTCCAGCCATAGGTGAAACAAACAGCGTGGCTATGCAAAGCAGAGTCACGGCACAGAGGACAGGCCGAACGGAAACAACCCGAGCGAGGATTTAGTTTAACAAAGGCCCAGAAACGTGACGTGAGAAGGCTCAGATTCACCTCGTTTTGCTCCAGCCTCTCAGAAAAAGCAGGACCCGGCACGGCACTGACGGGAGACCGGCGACCCTTTAACAGCCTTTTTCACCCTGGCGAGGGGTTTCGCACCTGGCGGATCTCAAATCTCAAATTAAATAAAAAAATTCTGCTATTGGAGTAACGCTGGGGTTACATAGCGCTGCAGCAAAGGGCTACAAGGAAGTCAACTGCCAGCACCACTGGCAGGGCTGCAGCTGGAGAGAGGCCCAGGGGATTTTAGTCTTGCAATGCCACCTCGTGGGAATCGCTGCAAGTCGCTGCCAGCCTCAAACGCGGCGGGCGCCCAAGCAGGAGTCTGTCCAGCCAACGAAACATAGATTTAACATCTTCCCACGCAGGGCATCTGCAACAACCGTGGCGTCGCGGTGTTTTCCTGCCACCGAAACGTGGCGTTGTAACGCTGAAACCTCTAACTCCGAGTCCTCGACAGGACAAGAGCAGCTTTGCACGACTCGCAAGCTCCCGAAGCCAGACAGTGCTTCCTCCCGCACCGTGGAAACAGCACTAAAATAGGAGCATTTTCAGGAAGGTACATCAAACGTCCCGAATATTTAATTCGGGACCGCAACAATTTCTTACTGACGGCTATTGCTCTGATTAATTTTGACTCTGTTAAACCTGTTTGGCTATCACTGTGCTTATGGAAGCGTGGACACATAGTTAATCACTGCACTTTCAGAATTTAAATACATACCAGCATTAAATCGAAACGCCCAGCCTGCCGAAAGAGCAGCCCCGCTTTCCAGCGGCGGCTGCAGAGCGCCGCAATTGCAGGACGCCTTTCCAGCGTGACAAGAATCCGTCTCGCAGGATGACAGCCTTCCACTGAAGCTCTCCAACCCGCTCATCTGACCTCATCACACTCGGTTATTAATCGGGTTTCATAACACACGGATGCGTGAAATCAGCAGGGAGAGGCTTGGAAGGCAGAGGCCGGGTGCCCTTCTGCCCCAGGCACTCGAGGTTACCAGCATTTAAATCCTCCCTGCAAACATGCCAGCTGTCTGTCCTTACCAGGCAACATCAGGCAACAAAAATAAAGCACATGAGATGACACTCTAGAATGACAAGAAGCTGACATGTGCTCTGCAGAGATTGTTTTCAAGGTAAACCTTACGGGGAGAGGCAGTATCTTACCAGATTAACTGACATCACTGAAAAAACCACAAGGAAAGCTTTCAGACCCACAAGTCCTTCTTCACCTTTAAATCAAGGCACAGGCAGATGATTGCAAGTAATCAAGCGAGGGCCATTTAACAGCCAGCTACTCATCAGCTGAGCTAGGTGTCTGACAGCACGGGGGGAAGGGGGTGAAACGAGGCAGCATCCAAAGCCTCGGGAGTAAGATGTCGCCTTCAGAGTGGCAACGATCCACCCATCTCCCCACCTCGGCCAGGTCTGCTGCTGTCGGCCAAACCACCACCGGGGTGGCACGGTCGGGTCTGGCAGCGGCGCTTGCCTGCCTCGCTGCATCCTCCCCTCCGGAGCTGGCAGGAACACACTGGCCGGCATCTCAGCCACGACCGCTGGTCCACAGCCGAGCCACAGATCGAGCCGCCCTCCTGGGACCCACCCCACGCGAGGCCGAGAGCGCTCACCGCTCAGCTCCGGGGGAGGATAGAGGTGGTACGTGCTGTAAATGTCATTGCGCATCTGCAGCTCCAGCTTCGTGTGCTTCTTCAGCAGGTCCGATACCTTCTCCTCCTGGAAAGGAGTCTTTTCCAGGATGACTACGGCATCTGTCCCCTCTCCGGAGGGGCCGGTCACCTGGAATAAGAACGGATAAAGCCGTTGGCAAACACGGACCCAATGCTGGGCGGAGAGTTTGAGGCCAGGACCTGAACGACTCCACCCAGGGACCACGGCAGGCACCTTGCAGCCCCTCAATTCTCGTGCGCAAACCCCTCCTAGTCCAGCCAACCTCTGGGCAGCACCCGTCCAAAAATAAAAGGCACGTTTGCCCTAAAGCACGGCAGGAATCTGCTCCCCATCAGGGAACACAGGCTGTTTTCTGGGAGAGGACAGGATGTGGTCAACAGCTCAGCCCATCTGCACCTCCCCGGATGCTCCCAGCGCTCACGGCTGCGTTCCCGCTGACCCACATCACTGATTCCATCTCAGATACTCGCAAGACAACAAGTCGACACGGGGCCCGCTGACCAGGCGGTCGGAGGGTCAGGAAGAGGGCAGAGGCAGGCGTAGGGGTTTGCATCACGGTCAGGGAGCAAGCCTAAGCTGTTTTGGGGCAGGGAGCACTGCTGCCCTGCTCCGAGGAACCACAACCCAGATCCGGATGCGGCCTGGGGTGCGGAGCACACCCCCGCATCGCTCCTGTCGGTACAGGACCCAGGCGAGGCCTCGCTGAACACCGCTTGGGGAGAGCAAAGGGGCTCACCTGGGGCTCCCAACCCAGCCACGCTCAGGGCAGAGCGGGCAGGTCTGTGCCCGGTTCAGTTACCCACCGACCACCAACCCGTTGCCGTGAGACCCAAGCGGCAGCTTGAAACGTCCCCGTCCTCATCGCCTGCTCGGATGCACATCTCCAGGAGACAGGAGCTGAGGCGGCTGCATGGTTCCCGCGCCACGGCCGGACTCTCCGGCCATAAAAAAAAGAGTTATTACCAATTTCCCTCTTATGGCGCCCGATTGACATGTCCGTCCTATTTACAGCCCCGGAGTTAGCATCTTGCTTGCAATTCAACGCCACTTTACCCACCAAGCACGAAAAACCTGCTCGCTGGGCCAAAAGGAAGAGCTACGCTAATAAGAAAAAATAACCTGAGGCTCGAAATAAGGTTTCCAGCGCGCTGCCCCCGAGAGCAGC